TAGACTATAGCTCATATAGCCCTAAGCTGTTCCCTACAGCCTGCACCTTAAGCCCCAAGCCCTAAACCTTAAATCCTTAAACCCTGCGTATTGCCCTAAGGGTCCAAGGACTCAAATAATTGGGTTTTAGGGCCCAAATACCATGAATATTGTAGTATTCGGGCCCTAAAGACCCTATTGTTTGGGTCCTTGGACCCTTAGGGTTGGGGACTGAGGCAGTAGCGGCATTCGAGGCGCTAAATCCGGGCAGCTGACAGCCGTGGCAGAGCACAAAAAGGGGCTGTGCTCAGGGTTTGCCCCTAACCCTAAACCCTTAACCCCGAAACCCTAAAGCCGAAGCCCCTAGAGTTTAGTCTCGAAGGGTTGCAGGGCTTGCCTAAACCCCCAAAGGGGGTAGACTAATTGCGCACAAATGTTTAGGGTTGTATAGGGGGGTTGTATAGGGGAGCATTAGTGGAGTAATTAAGGGGGGTACCAGGAGTTTAGACTATAGCTCATGTTTCTTTAATGTTTTGGCGTCTTTACTTGTTGTAGGGTCCATGTTCCCGCAGTTAGGTTTCAGGGGAACTTGCAACGATTGTCCTTCTTGGGTGTAGAAAACAATGTTATCCCTAAACCTAAACCCTAAACCCTAAACCATCATCAGTTTAGAAATGATTGAAATTTGGCATCTGACGGTCGGGATGGTGGTTTGCTTGTGGCAGGAAGGGGCCAGGAGTTCCGCAGCCCTTGGTGTAAGGAGTAAGCCCGCAATTACATCAACTCATAGAGGCTCTTACTATGGTTCAGGGTACAGTATGGGTCATTCCGTCTTGACAGTAAATGTCCTTAAAGGGGTTTGATACCCTAAGCCCTAAACCCTGAATGCAGAAACCTAGAGGGATCCGTAGAGCTTCTATGATCTACTGTTACTCTGAAGGGGAATGACCTAAGGTACTTGGAGGGTCAGGGGGACTTAGTAATAGTGCAAAATAAAATGGAAACTACTACAAGGTTTAGCGACAGGGGGACTTAGTAATTAAGTACGTTACTGATAGGAATAACTAGGGTTACCATATGAGCCATAGTCTAGACTCCTTCAAAGGGTTTGATAGGAGATTATATAAGGAATTATTATCAGGGTTACTAAGGGGGATGCTAGGAGTTTAGACAACGGCTCATAGGGCCTATAGGTGTTATTGACCCACACACTAAGTCCGCTGACCCTCCAAGTATAGTCTAAATCCGGAAAACCCAAACCCCTGACCCATTAATGTTAATGTATTTGGGCCCTAGAACCCTATTGTTTGGGTCCTTGGACCCTTAGGGTAATAATAGGGATAACCCGGGTTACGATATTATGGCTTCTGGGAGTTATTAACCTACTTACTAAGTCCCCCTGGCCCTCCAAGTATAGCCCTTAGTTAACGGGTTTCGGAAGTCCTGAGCCAGGGCCCTTGCCAGCTCCCAAGTCTGCAATACACTCAAGAGAGGATTTAAGCGTTGGGGATAGGGTTCAGCGTTTAGGGTTGATCTGAACCCCAAAAGTATGTAGTATAATGCCTTCTGGGCTATTTTAAAGGGTTTGGAGTTGTTATTTCACCTCCCTTCCTGTAGCTCTCCTCCGGCTAACTCTACTACGCAGGACTTCCAAAGGCCCGTAATTCAGAATTTGATTCCTAATTAGACTAAACTTCAAACCTTGAACCCGAAACAACCGAGCTCTAAAACCTAAAGCCCGCAGCGCATGGGAAATGCCAGGATCCATTCAACCCCCCAAAACCCCAAAGCCCTTGAACCTCCTAAACTTTGTCACAATGCCTAGACGACAACAGCGCCCAACTCCGAAACATATAAAACAACGCTAGCTCCTTTTTCTAAAGCCTCAACCTGAACCCCTAAAACCTTAAACGCTCAACCTCTAAACCCTTAACCCTGATGCGACCAACCTTGTGTCAAAACCCTGCAAATGAAGTCTATAGTCCCCCTTCAGTAGATGGAATATGGGGGATTTGCTGATCTTATTATAATATACCCAAAGCCATCTTCTGTCTACTTACGGGCGACTATAAATGCCAACCTAAGCCGCAATTAAGTTTTAAATCCAAAGCCTGAAACCTTAAATCCTTAGATCTCAGGCCTCAAGACCTAAACCCTGAAGAATCTCTGTATAGACCCCCTATATGACCCCTACCACCCACTTGAAGGGATCTTAATCTCCAAGCCGCTGATTTCCAAGTTACCCCCCCCCCCCCCC